AAGAGACACAGAAAAACTCAGGGTTTATTGAAGAAAACCTGTCAGCGAGCAGGTTATGTTCACAGAGTCTGTTACCATGGTGATTGACTCAGAGTTTCAGTTACCTCTCTTTCTGGAACGGATAACTCAGAGTTTCCCTCATCTCAGGATTAACTTACTCTGAGTTTTCACATAACCCGCTTTCTGGAATACCCCCCAGATCGCTCTGTGTTTCTTTTGGTCAGAGTGACGACTGTGACGGTAGAAGTTGTGATTGACGAAAAAAACAACACACATTATGACTTTCTGTTGGGAAAGATGGCTCAACTATGACACACTACACTAGATAAAAAGATGAATTATTGCATCGCATTGCATTGACACTTGTTGTCGTTCAGGATCTGAGCTGACACTGTACGACACTGTGTCGGGCTATAATCTGGCTGATAATAGTAGTGTGTACCCGGAATTAGACTGACTTTTATAAGCACCTCTCACCAAACGATCAAGATCATGGGAGCATGCACTAACTGAGGTAAAACTCTCATGATTTTATTCCGACATTAGAAATTTGTCTGCAACAGTGAAATCACTTGAAAAGTCGTTTAGTGTAAGGCTGGCACAAGTTTGCCTGTCTGGACAGATTACCTGGTTTTGACCTTTCCCTGTTTTTGGACTCCAGTAAGTAGGAACTTTTTTTATCTGAGCCTTTGTGCTTTGTGTCGTATAATGAACATGAAGTGTAAATTCATTTAGCAACCACCAATAACATCTCAAGTCTTTAAAACTAATTTTTGACCCATACACCACCTCTTTGTTTCTGTTTTCATTTTGGCCATGAGTGATGGATTACCATGACATTTAGTATATACATGCTTCTTCCCATTCGGATGAATTTGAATGCATTTGGTGATCCTTAAACATTTTATCTAGTGCCATCGTCAGGCTAAAATCTTAAAGTATCCGACTACTGGGTACCTATCAAATAACTGTAAACCAGTAACATCCCCATCAACAGCACTTTGTGTGCTGGTCAAAAAGCATTAGCATACTAACATACTCAACTAAGATGCTAAACTTGGTATACATTAGCATGCTAGCATTGTCATTCTGAGCATGCTAACAGCTCAAAGCACCTCTGTAATTACATACACCATCACAAGCTGTTTGCGTGGCTGTAACTCTTACTCTTGACATATGTTGTACTTTTCGTAGCTTTACTTGCTACAGTGGTTAGTGGAAAGTTCTTTATTCTGTTAAAAAACACTCATCACACAGGTTTATATTCTTTTTGGTAAGAGCTTGGTTTAGGAGTATGCTTAATTGATTTCAACTGCTTTTTTACAAACAGTGCAAGTTCAAAAATATTCATGAATTTGCCCCAAAACTTTTAGGAAACTCATATCATTCATACATACAATAAGTGATTAAAATTAAGGCAACTTTAAAACTGCACTATCATGTATTTGTTATGTATTTTACACAACAGTTTTTCTCTTGCTTACTGACATATAGAAATATAAAGTGAGAAAAGATACAAACATTTCACTATTCTTTCTTCCTTACCGTGAAGCAGTGAAACACAAAGGAAAATGACCCCGGCTGTCTTCACTTCTGTCATCTTGTTTGTTGTCTACTTTCATAACTTGTCCCATCCTAAATGCCGACAGTCTGAACAAATGTTGTTTCTTGTTTCTGATTGGCTCATCTCAACTTACAGCTTTTACATCTGAATTATTTGCTCACGTGTCTTGTTTGTCAAAACAACAGTGTTGCGCATTTTTCCAGACACTAATCAAACACGGACGACCACTGATGATGTCGGTTTTCAGATTTTGTGAACACACACCTCAGCATACGATTAGCTGAGATAAGTACTTAGTTAATCTGCTCTGCACCCATATTCACTCCTTTATCTGAATGTAATCTATATAAAAATAAAAATACACAAACAAGATGACTTCTGAAAACAGAGATACATATTATTATGAATATTATTAATTTTTTGTGCTGCATATTTCAGAGCGGTACAGTCCTGGACTTGTCCTGCTTATATACTTAGGGAAAAAAAGCAAATAGAAAAACTGTAAGTGAAGACATGAACAGGGTTGTACAGGTTGACAGAAACCTCCAGGGCAGAGATTTGCAATGGGTGAAAGCAAATATTTGTTGCTTGACTAGAAAAAAATACATAGCATATTAAAATAGGTATGGGAAGATAGTGTGCACGTGTTGTAACATGTTGCTTGCAAATAAAACATTTCACCCAACCTTCCAGTTTTGTCTGTTCTTATTTATATGTCACAAGGAGAGAGAATTCAGTCCATTTGCAGGCTTTTTTGTGGGATTGTTGCGGCCTACTAAAAACAAAAAAATTAATAAAAAGAAAACTCTGTTAGCTAAAACCTGAAACAGTAGAATGATGATTCACACTATCACTCGTTCAGCCAATCAGTGATGCTCACCTGCAGCCCATTACACACAGAGCCACAGTGGGGGGTGTGTAAGAGTGTCCATAGCGTAAACAGTTTGTGAAAGATTTAATGTACAATAAATCTGATGTTGTTTGTCGGCCCACTGTGGGACTCATGATCAGAACTGTGACTGTAGCTGTTTATTATTCCTCTGCATTATTTGTTTGGGTTGTCCGTACATATGTTAATCTTGTGGATTTAATATCTCAAGAAGGCCTCAAAGGAATTTCTTCAAATTTGGCACAAATGTCCATTTGGAGTCATTGAAAAACTGCTAAGAATTTGGTGGTCAAAGGTCAAGGTCACTGTGACCTCACAAAACATTTTTTTGGCCATAACCCAAGAATTCCTGCACTAATTATAACAACATTTCACACACATGTCCAACACAACAAAATGATGAAGTGGTGACATTTTATACCCAAAAGGACAAAGGTCAGCTTCACTGTGATGTCATAATGCTCTGCACAAACACTTTCCTGATTATTATTCGACATCATAATTCAGGAACAGAAGAGAAGACATTTGGTCAGATACTGAATTGCTGACACTGATCTAGCTGTCATGGCTACATATGAGTCTGGACAGACATGGATGTAAACTGTCACTGCAACCTTCCTGGTTCATGGAGGCATACAGCCACTAGGTGGTAATCTACAAAACAGTGTCAGCGGTTACGGCTTTGACCAGCGGATATAATGGGACTTGGGATGTGCGCCAAACGCTGGCTCCGTTATGCAGCAGATCCAGCTGTGCCGCCCATAGGTGCCGCCGTCATCAGAAAAGGACGTCGCTTTACGTGACGCTTCAGAGTAAGGCCGTCTCATGTCTCAGATCAGCATTCCTCGCTCCTCATTCCTAACAAAGAGCATGGATACCAAGAGGTGAAGCTCAGTAGAACGCCCCATAGCAACAGACTTTTTTTTTTTTCTTTATTGGTCATACTCACATTGCCAGAGATAAACGGAGGGTGGGGGGGTTACATGCGCAAATAAAATAATCCCAATTAAAGATTACATGAAATCATAAAGTGCAGGAGAGTAAACAAAATATACAATATGTTTCTGGTTGGCCAACACAAAATCATTTCAAAAACATGGAAACAAAGAAAATAATTCTAGAGTCTTTATGGCTTTCTTGTTTTCAGATTGAGTAATTGTATTAATGTATTGTTTGATTTCCTTTTCAAGACGGTAAGTACATGGTATTTGATTACTGAATTTCCGGTTATGGATATGAGCTTTGGCTAAAAATAATATTAAATTAATTATAATTGTAATATTGTAATATTGGTCTATTTGGGGGGATGGGACTGAAAAGAAACCAAACAATACATTTCGATACTCCAAAGCAAAATTGTTGTCAATATGCTGACGGATGAAGGTAGTGACATTGTTCCAAAAAATCTGTAAGTGGGGACATGACCAGAAGAGGTGGTAAAGATCTTCTGGAGCCTGTTTACAGAAGGAGCAGAATTCGTTTATGTCTTTTTTATATCTTTCCATAAATAGACTGGAGGGATAGATTCGGTGGATGAGTTTGAGGGATACTTCTTTGGTTTTATTTGTGATGAAATATTTACAAGGGAGGGACCATATGTTTTTCCAAATCAGGTTTGTGAATATATTGTTCCAGTATGATACGGCATTGGGGGTACTGATGATTTCNTGTGAAAGACTGGTTCAGGGAGCATGAGACATCATTTTCACACATGGATTGGCCACCACAGAGTCCAGACCTTAACCCCATTGAGAATCTTTGGGATGTGCTGGAGAAGGCTTTGCGCAGCGGTCAGACTCTACCATCATCAATGCAAGATCTTGGTGAAAAATTAATGCAACACTGGATGGAAATAAATCTTGTGACATTGCAGAAGCTTATCGAAACAATGCCACAGCGAATGCGTGTCGTAATCAAAGCTAAAGGCGGTCCAACGAAATATTAGAGTGTATGACCTTTTCTTTTGGTGGTGACTTTTTTTTTGGCCAGGCAGTGTATATATATTGGTAGATTGGCTTATGGGGTGATTTTGAAGGCGTAATTAAGTTAATCTTCTATAAGTGTTATCTTTCCTCCAAAACTGGCATATTAAATGGATATTAAAACACTTTAAAACTTACACCTCAGGAGTTCTTACCTGTCGGGATCCTTCGGGAAACGGTGGAAGGCCAGGTGCGGGGTGTTCCACTGATAGTTGTTGCAGTTAATTGCACTACACTGTTTTCTTTTACTTTTTGTCTCCTCTCTCCTTGACATCTTGCATGTTGTCTGGGCGCAACAGTCCAAGCTCAACAGTCCAAAATGGCGGCAGCGCCCCTAGTGGCTGTTGGCAAAAATTCAACGGAGCTTCGCCTCTTGGTATCCATGCTCTTTGCTCCTAACTCCTGACTCCTTAAATGTTTTCCTAAGTGGGTGGGACTAAACAGTTAGATAAGGTGGCTAGATAAGGTGGTTAGCAGTAATTTTAAGGGACTTGGGATGTAGCCAGAAACAGGAAAAACAGGAACTGCTCCACACCTTTGGTGACATCTCAGCCATTTTATTTATTCAACACTGCCATCTATGGGAGTTACAACCTGTCTCATTCTCCAGTGGTGTATAAGGAACTTATTGAAAGGACAGCTCTTTGAGATATAGCAATTCTATTTAAATGAGGTCTCACAGACACAAATATAAAATCATAAAAGACAAATAAACAACATTACATGAAAAACATACACTATAAACACACAGATATAGACAGCTTGTCACCCTCTCTTACCCATCTTCATCTGTTGTACAGAAAGAATCAAATACAATGACCCAGACAAAAGCCTAAACATATTTAAAGATGAAAAAATAAAGATCTCCAAAGCAGAAGAAAAAGATTAAAGATCTCCGAATAAAAGGAAAATTATTCCAGTAGAATGGAGCTTTGTTTTCAAAAGGAGCATTGCAACCTTCGAGAGACTGTCCGTTCATAAAGGTTAGGACCTTAGGGTGTCTTGAGCTATGCTTGTTGGTAAGTGATTCTGACTGGATTTGATTCTTTAAAGGGACAGTCCACCCCCACTGAACAAGATAACATTAAAGCTCAGCTGAAAAGGACACCATTAATGTTTACATTTTGTGCTGTCACAAGCAAAAGCCTTTCGTCTATGAGTACATGCACGCTTCCTTCTGTGTGGTAATACGGTTGGTGGGTGCATTTTTGTAGAAGGAAAATACTTCCTACATGAAACTGCTCATAGCAAGGTCAGTGGGTTATCTTGAGTAACTTGTTATGGTTTATGGAAGGAGACATTGCTGTTGAGCTTTTCAAATATACTTTTTTGGTGCTTTAAGCTTGAAGTGTACACATGACATTTTAAAATACAGGATCTACAGTATATCAGAATCTCTCAAATAAACAAAGGTAATAAAATAAATATTGGTTGGTTCACAGTTGTTTTTTTTTGCCCTGAGTCTGCTCTAAAAAAACAGTTGGTATCTATACATACATTGAAAAAGGTCCTCCTGCTGTTCTTACTGGCCATTTTCTGCATTTCATTTTGTTTCCCTGCTGTTTATTTATTTAATTTTGTCTTGCTAACTGTAAGCTGCTAACTGGTCAAACTTTTGCTGATGATCAAGTCAGTTGTGTGATTAATCCTTTCCATCAGGTCAACCTATGTGTGCTTGACTCCAGATCCAGATACATACAATGGTGACAAAGCAGGCCAAAATAAAGACAAGGTACAAGCCGAACAGGAAACGGTCAATGACTGCCCCAATCATTTGCCATTCCTGCGAGGCACTGTTCCCCTGGAAGTGTTTTTCTATCTGGAGGCGGATGGCCATGAGATCTTTGCTCAGCTTCCTCAGTTGATCCAGGGCTGGCACCGGAGGGGTGTTCGCTGGAGGTGTATTACCAGAGACGCTCGGAAGATCTCTTGAAGAGATGGTGATGGGACTCATTGCTGTACATATAAAAAAAAAAAAAAAAAGAAAGAAAAAAAGATAAGATTAGAGTGAGAGCGTTGTATATGGTGTGTCACATCTATCTATCAAGTGATACTGTGATACACAGCGTGAGTGAAACATTTTTTAAAAGTCAGCATTAATACTAATTCTGATAATTAAAATATAAACAGTCAATCTGCTTTTGACTTTATGTAAATACATAATGTAACAAAGGTTACATTATTGTAACCCTAGCTCTATTAGAACAGGCATAGCCCTCTAGTGGACTTTATGGGTAACACTCTCCTACAGTCATGGGGACCCATTCTCCCACCAAATTCTGCATGAACTTAGCCTGCCAATCAGAACATGCCTACCTGAGTACATGCGGAGACCACAGTGTGTAAGGCAAAACCACAATGCTGTCTGCCATCCAGCCCTCTTAAGTGAGTGGCATAGGAGCGACAATCTCACACAGGCTCTGCCCTCTACTGTGGGTACAGTGGGTGGAGCCCGATAAATGAACACCCTGTTGCGACATAACATCAACCCAGTCACACTGGTCCTGAGTGTCTAAAGGTTACTTGCTGTAGCCCACCTACTTTTTTATAACCTAGGCTGCTGCAGTGGCGAATAGGGGACTCTGGTCTACCCAGGTGGTGGGCAGCTGAACTGGGTGGAGCCATGGCCTAACCTTGCAGGGGTTGAAAGACAAGCAATAAACACTCTACACACATTTTCCGGGTCATCAAGGAGCATGAAACATGTTGGTTTATCACATCCAGAGGGGAGTCAGGTGCTCTCTCACCAGTCCTGTGTTGTTCTGGTGAGCACAGATCCTAAAAAGGAGCCCGTCATGACCAAGAGACAGAACTGATTGAACAGGCAGGGCGTAGAACATGTGGCTGCCGTATATGTCCTTGACACTCACCCCAGTGAAAAAGGCCACCGACACTACCATACCACATGTGGAGTGTGTGCCGATCACAGCGGGAGGGTCCCTGTCTGCCTGCAGGCTTGGGAGAATGCCATCTAGCAAGGTGTTTATTGGATAGGGCCTTACCAGCCACACCATCACCAAAGCACACAAACAGCTGTTCAGTGCGGCTGATGGAGGCCATGCCATGCCATGTAATGCCATGCCATGCCATGTAATATGCCAACACACAAATTGGGCAGAGTAGATGCAATTTCGCTTCCCTGACCCTCTCATGGTGTGGAAGACAAAAAAGCATCCAACCACATATCTTTCATCTGTGGAAAGAGCTGGTCAGTGGACAAATCACTGATTGCTAAAGAACAGTGGATGGCAGACGGCATTGTGGTACTGCCTTATATACCGTGGGCTCTTTAAGTATTTGGATAGGCATGTTCTGATTGGCCAGCTACCAGCTAATTCAGTGGGTGAAAGCAATGGAAGTATTACCTCTAGAGTCCAGTAGAGGGCGGCACCCGATAGAATGCTTGAGTTTGCAGCATATATCGCTATTGTGTTTTTGCTTTTGGAAAGCATAGAAAAAAACACACTATCCTCAACACTCTGATTACAATAAATGTAGTGACAGAAATATCAATGATAAAGAAATAATGATGATGTTACTGTACCTCCAGCAGGTGGGTGAAGAGAGACTGTAACGCGGTTGCTCTTCTTTATTGGAGGGACACAAACGATAACAGCTAGATATCGTAGCACAAGGACACTGAGCCATCTAGGTGCTGCACTGTACTGGCTGGAGCTGAACTGGATATTAGTGATTAACACTGTCTCCAACAGGCTGGCCACCATCAGAGCAAGACTGACTGAGAAGAAGACATCTGCAGAGAACAATAAAAACAGGAATTGTTAAGAAATAGAAAATTTTATTCAATTTCAGTTGTAGTTGGTTAAACTAAATCTCCTAGGTGTTACTCATGAGAGGTGTTGCATTTCCAGTGACAGGCAGCAAGTCATTCATGATGAGCAGGAAAACGGTGTAGCCCAGGATGAGGGTCATCTTAAAGGAGGACCGATCCACACTGTGGGGAGGCAGCAGGAAGCTGAAGAGGTCCACTGTGATGAGGAAGCAGCTGGGGATCAGGAGGTTCACCACATAGAGGAGTGGCCTACGTCTCAAAATGATCTTGGAATGAGGCAAAAGCACAAAGCTTCAGGTTATAGTAAGACTTTACAATGTCAGTCTAATTACCATTAATAAATGAGACAGTTGCCAGGAATATTGAGCCCTGAAAACAACTTTTGTTTGTTGGTGGCCTGTCAGGCCTTTGGTGCTCCCCAGGGATCCGTCCTCGGCCCCCCTTTTTTCATTCCATTCCATACCCGGAAAAAACCTGAGCTGACACAGGGAGAACATGCAAACTCTGCACAGAAGGGTTCCCCCACCCTGGGCTTTAACCACTACATTACCGTGCCACCCCAATATATGCACTTGTTTTTTAATATATATATATCATGTAGTTCATTCTGTCTTATTTTGTTATTCAGCTCCCTTGTTACTTACTCTACCTACGTGTGAGTAATGACGAGTAACACTTTCTTTGATCATGATGCCTGGTGTATAACCCCCTGGTTTATCAGTGAAGTGTATAAACTACTCTGCAGATTGAAATCTCTACAAACAGTGACAAACAGAGTGACAGTTGACTCATATGAACAAGTCCAACAAGAGTGGAATGCTCATTATCAGGTCCTTGACATATACGTACATCTTGTGCATGAATTATCTTTACTGGGCTGCATTTTTACAAACTATGATAATCTGGTCACATCTCTTACTGCATCCAGGCACCATCTTACTCCTTACTTGCAGGTCTCGTACTCAGTGGACTTAAGTTACATTTAGTAATTAATATTGTTCCTTTGTCAGTGTGACACTGACACTACCTGCCACTCTTATCTGGCATACTGACTTGACTGGCTTGAAAACAACACATGGGCTTTACAAGTTTCATTGGGATTGTCTATTTCTATAACAAATGACTTCTTCCTCTGAATTTCATCTGAATAACTCTGAAAATGAATTATGTTAAAAAACTGATAGAAATTCCACATACAGTTTCTTTAGGATCCAGTAATGTTAAGTTGATAAATATCAGTAGTCATCATGTGAATACAGAATAAAAGCTTACATGGTATTTGACCCCAGTGCTGCTTCCATTGGTCATCTTCAGGTTAATTGGAGCTGATTTGATATCTACAAGCTCCCACTCCCCTTTGATCTGCATCACTTGTCTGGACTCCTCCAGGATCTCTGCAGCTGTGGTGCTCTGAATCATCCTTACGTCTGCAGCTGGAATAAAATCACAGGAAAGTTTGTCCTTATTAGATGCCCAGTCTGTGTGAAGTGTTGCTTGTGGTGCACATGAGTAGAGCAAAGTTGTCAACAATGTGAGTTCATGGAGGTTCAGGCCTTGAAGATATTCAAATTAATATATTTAATCCTACTTTTTTTGACAAATAAAAAATGCATGATTACTGGAGTTTAGATTTTATTTTGTTGTTTTTGGTTTTTGGGCAGACTTACCAACGTGCAGATATGGTTTAAAGGTCAGCGAGCAGTTTTGGATATCAAAGGGGAAAGTGTAGATTACAAATTTGCAGGTGGCGACCACTCTGATGGGTTTATCATCATATACATGACCTGTGTTGTATAAGTAGACAGAGGAAGTTTGGGGAGATTCGTCCTCGTGCACGCTGGAAAAAACAAAAAACAAACAAATGAAAAAACTTTAATTGCACATACATAGTTCAAAGCTGACTCTTTCCCTTGGTTTCTGTAGTCAATAATTAATTTAATCAACAAATTTTTAAAATTGGGCACAGTTCTTGTTTTTGCTGTTTCTAAAATGGTGGCTAGGAGATGAGGTCTATTGATGATGTGATTCCTTTTGTTTTCTAATGCATGCTAAACAAGTTTACAGAACATTGAACATTATTTTTACTTACAACTCTCGGATTTGGACGTCTGGGATCCAAAGCTTTTCTCGAGGGACAGAGACTCTAGTAGTTCCACATTCCTCCTCATCCCAGCTCAGTCCCTCTATATCCCACTCCTACAGTACGTTAATCAGAACAACACTGATGTAATGTGCAGATTAGAATCAACCATTTTGATAAATAATAATAATATAATAAACTTCATTTATATAGCACCTTTCAAAACACAGTTAAAAAGTGCTGTACAATAAAACTAAACACAATTAAAACATGTGAAGAGTAAAACATATAATATGTCATAAAATGTCATCTAGTAAAAGATAAAACAAAGAAGGCCAAAGCTAAAATCAGGATAATAAATGGGCATTAAAATCAATAAGATATCGATAAAACAGACTCAGCTCAGATAAAGTCAGGATATGCTTTCCAATAGAAGTACATTTTTAGGAGAGACTTAAACGAAGCCAGTGACTCAGATGGCCTTATATCCTCGGGTAGGTCATTCCAGAGCCTCGGGGCCCTGGTGGCAAAAGCTTTGTCCCCTTTGGTCTTCAGTCTGGACTTTGGGACAAGCAGAAGACCTCTGCCCGTGGATCGCAAACCACGTTAAGGTTCATAAGGGACTAACAGGTCCAAAATGGAGTCTGGAGCCAGGTCATGAGGAGCCTTAAAAGTAATTAATAAGATTTTAAAATCAATCCTAAAAGAAACAGGGAGCTAATGTAAAGAGGCTAAAACTGGTGTGATGTGGTTGTTCTACTTGGTTTTGGTTAAGAACCTTGCAGCTGAGTTCTGTACAATCTCATTGTTGCAAGGCTTTTTGGTTTAAAAAGGCAGGAATAAAGGCTGTTGCAATAATCAAAACGTGAAGAGATAAAAAAAAACATGTGTAATAGTTTCTATATCTCTAAAAGTTAAAATAGGTCTTATTTTAGCAATATTTCAACTTAGTGCCATGTTGTTCAAAACATAAATAACTATCGGACATGACGCCAAGATTTCTTGCAACAGGCTTCATGTGCTGAGACAGGTAACCAGTAGACGGCAGTATCTGCTTCGTGATATGCTGGGACCCATTTACAAGGATTTCTGTTTTTATCACAATGGAGCTGAAGAAAATTTAACACCATCCATTTTTTTTTTTAATGAACTGAGGGTCCAGAGGGCTACACCTACACCTTCCTATTAGAACTAGGGTTACAATATTGTTATTTTCACACCCCCACCCCTGAAACTATGCAAAACTTAATTAAAATGCCTTGTCCCAATTAAAGGCTGAGTCCCTTTTACTAGCCCATTGTGGCTACACATTTTGGCATATATACGCCTGTCTCAGTTAGCCGCCTGATATTCCTTTAGACTGTAAGGGTCCTCAGATGTGTTGGTATGCTGGTTGCCGTAATCCCCAAGTGCTGTAACTCTCTCTGATGCGCTGTCTGTCAGAGCTAGATCAAATGAATAATTCATAACTGATTTATTATCTGAAGTCTAATTTTTATGCAAGTAATATTCATACTGATTTAAATAAACAATTTGATTGTACTTCCCATGTACTGTCCCATATAGACACCTGTCCCAAATATAGACCTGGTGATTTCAGTGATTTACGGAAATAATAGCCGGGATATAAATCGAAGATATTCAGTATATTTGTGACCTGTTTTTATGATTGTACATCTTCAGCAGTAATCAATGAGCTTGGGGCTTAGTGACACAGACAGTTTGGATTGTTTTATGGCACATTATATAATATCAACAGCCTTATCCCTTAGGCGAGAGAAATATGACGAGTTCCTTTCCAAATTTTCTAACGAAAACACATAAAAAACAGACCGTCAGTTTGGACTTTTTAAATTTCTTGAAGATACTTTCTCTGTTTAATGTGGCCTCTTATTGTGCTTATTGTTAAACAAAATGTAGACACATTTTTGAATTTACTCCTCTTTTGTTAGTGCTTTGAAAACTTACCAGGACTTGCAAAATGAACATTGTCAAGGCCTGGGTTTTTTCATTCTAGGAACAAGACATATATTTACTATAAATAAAATTCACTGACGATATAATTAGTTGAGAAAGTTATGCACGTTTGTGTGTCAGCATTAATAGACTCACCAATTCTAAAATTCCCACCACAGTGATAGTGATGGATACATTCAGTGTATCTGAAAAGCGTTTTACAGGTCGCAGTAGTTTTCTAGGAAATAGTTCTCTCTCAAGTGCATCAAACAAGGATTCAGGACTTGGGCTGGTACAGTTCAATGCTGCAACAAAACCTGAGTTCAAATACAGAAAGAACAAATCTTAGCTCATGTTTATAATAAATGTATTTAGTCATTCATTTACTTTATTTCTACATTTCTTTTATTAACATAAATATCAACATGACAGAAACAAAACAATAAACACAGAACAAAAACAATACATAAGTCACTGAAAGAGACCAAAAATACAAAATCAAGCCCATACACCCTGATAACACAAACACACAGTGTATATCATTACAACACATATCAGCAAAAAATAAAATAAAATAAATAAATAAAAAAAACAGAACATTGATATAATAATTACAATCAAAATAATGATAATTACAACAACAATAAGAAGAATGATAATAATAACAATACTACTACTACTTATACCACCACTAAAAATAAAAAAGACAGGTTTGATCATACTTAGTACAGATACATTACATTATTATATGGACAGTACTGATATTACAACAAGCAATTACCTTAACCTACACTGAATTTAATTTCTTCTGCTAGGCACCTTTAGATCAAAGCAATGACAAAAGACAGACTTTGATGTTGTCTCGGAGTAGCATGGAATCATGGGAGTTATTTTCTTTATTGTTAAACAACCACCATTGCTGATGAAAATCTATCTGACATGACTCGGGCAGAAATCTTGCTTATGGATGAGGAAATGTATCAAACTTTTATTCATTCATTCATTGTCATTTTAATGAAATAACCATGACTAACGTAAAGTTAACTTGCTAACTTACCATTAGCGTTAGATGAGTTGACTATACCATTGAGCTTCTGTAGTTAACATTATTGTTGGATAGCCCAGCTCTGTTATCCTTGGTGAAATCAGTCATTCTGAAAATAACTTTATGTTGAACAGTGTTTCCCACAGAATTAGACTCTATTTGCGGTTGTAGCTGATTGAAGGGGGGACACAGACCTTCAGTTAGGGCCCTGTAGCAACTTGAACTTTAACCAGCACAAATGCAGCACCCATGGTTTGATCACAGGATTTATGACTCTTAGTCTTGACATATGATGAACCTCCCTTGTTTTTACTTGCTACAGTAACTTACTGGTTTCTGTTTTAAGGGAAGTTGTTCATTGATTCAGTAAGATCATACTTCCCACAGGCTTTAAGTCTTTTTGATAAGAATGTGATTTAAGGTTTTAGATTCTCAGAACTTTAAATTGTCTTCCTTTGCTTTTTCACCAACAGTACAAATTCCCCAAACACCTCATGACAGTATTCATGAATGTGCCGCAAAGCTGTTATAAAACTCACATGCAGTCGTACGTGCAATGTATGTTTAAAATTCAAGGCAACCATCATTATGAAATACAGCCAAGCGTCTGCCAGCATGCAGACATCTTTCTCTTGCTAATTCAGTAGATAGTCAGTGTTCTTTTTTTCTTACCGTGAAGCAATGAAAAGCTGATGAAAATGAGCCCGAGTGTCTTTATCTCTATCATCTTGTCTGTGTCAGCTCAACTGCTGTCACAACTTGTCCCACTAATCTCCTTTGAAGACGGCTTTTTACACACACACACACGTCTTGTTTGTCAAACTAATCAAACAGAGCTGACTCCTGCATGGCTGCATGCAGGGTGTTGGAAATAATGACGTCAATAAACTAAGCTTGCATGTGAGGTCTGAAAATTTTTTGATTTCCCCTGATCTAAATATGTGCATTTTATGATGTGTGGAAAGCAAAAATTGGACAACCGTAGCCATAAAACTATGTTGGTGAGTGGCAGCATAAATGATCTGTCACTACAATCTGGAAATACAGAAGAGGCTAAAATGGTCATGAAACATCTAAAAATGAATGTGGACAATGTTTAATTTTAGTGTCTGAGTAAAGGGAAATTCACACTACGGACAACATTAAAATCCAATCTGTCTCACCCTCTGTGACTCAAATTTGTCTCTCCTGCCAAACTGTATTAAAAATAATTATAAATACAATTATGCACACCTTCTTTATTTAGTTTTTGTGTCTATTTTTGAATTATAGAAATGAATCTCAAACAGTACTACATAAACGTAATCAAAATGTGTGTTATTGGTAATAAGCCTGTCTGTTATTATTATTTATTTATTCCACTGAACTCCTTGGCATAGTTTTTTTTATTTTTTTGGTTTTTAAATGTTTACTCATCTATTTATGTGTCTACATGTTATTGTATGTTATAGTCAGAGTTGGGTAAGGGTTACTTTAAAAGTAATCAAAGTAGGCTACTTTACTGCGTTACTTTTTTTTTAAAGTAACCAGTTACTTTACTGCGTTACTCCCTGAGAAAAGTAACTCAAGCACTTTTAAAGTACTTTTGAGTATTCTACATTTCCTATTGGGCAATGGACCACAGGGCGCTAAGCCTACATTTTTTGTCTCCAAAATTAAAGTTATGGACCACTTGCCCTTCACTGAGATCCAATTCTCCCATCACAGCCGTCACTTTGACCAGTAGAAACACAGAACGATCTGCTGCCGTAGACAACTGTATGACAACAACACCCCAGCATTTTTAATATTTCCTCTAGGGATGTTACCACACAGAGTAAAAGGGGGAAATGATGGTGTGAAACAGCAGAAGCACTTTGTCAACCCGCTGAGTACTGTCATTAGAATCAAGCTAGCAAACAATGTTATTTCTTCATAATGGAGATGGACATAAAGTAATAACATTAACCAATAGCGGCGGGGCTTTTACTCACCACAACTGCAGAGGCTCCCAACTTCATGTGAAACAAACTACATTATAGACGGTCCGTTATTTATTAATCCCTCTGTGTGTTCATATATTTAACGTTACTTTTTATCCGCTCCATTGTCTTTATAAAGTTAACATAACATTTCAAACTCAAGACTTCTTGAATTTCTTTCAAATTAAAAGCCCCTTATAACCTCAGCTGAGAGAATCCCTCCATTTTCTAAATAGGCTTTTATTGTGAAACATTTGTAGGAACTTGTTGTGGAGGATACAGTAGCTTGAATGTTTGCGTATGGTACAAATGGAGCTCCTGACATCTGCTGACGCTTTTTAGGTGACTACAACAACATTTTGGCTGGCATATGAACAGACAGTGACTCAAAAAGTAATAAAGATAGGACAAGAATAACCTGATGACATCACACACGTCGTGAAAGACAACCGGGGATAATTGGTGAGTACCATCGTGTAGTGTGTCATGTCTGTCGGGCAAGTCACGGCACGATTTTATGACTTCACAATCGTGTAATGTGACATAGTGACTTTCAGAACGGGCAGAAAAGTCGTGTAGTGTGTACCAGGCAAAATGCAAGTCCTGAGTCTGACCTGTCTGTCAGCGAGTCCTCCTCCACCTTTTCTTAGTCTCCACTGTAGACAATAGCAGCATTTCTTCTACCACGTAGCGAGCCACAAGCTTCGTGGCTTCTTTTGGACTGATAGGTTTAACGTTATCTCTGTTATTAGAACCAAAAGACAGTCGTTGCTGTTTCGGAGCTGAAGGACCAGTGTTCTAAAAGTAACGGAAGTAACTGATGGCTTGTTTGAAAATGTACTCAAGAATTGGATTACTCAAACAGCAAACTAACGCGTTAGGTTACTCGTTACTGCAAAAAGTAATCAAAGTACTCTAACGCATTACTTTGTAACGCGTTATACCCAACTCTGGTTATAGTATGTGTGCAAGGCAAGCTGTTCAGATAAATAGCCCCGAGTGGGATTAATAAAGTTGTCTGAATCTGAATCTGTTAAACAGTAATTTATTTATACAATACTACTAGGCTATATTGAAGCATTATAATTATCATAAGTGCTATGTCATAGGCAACTGGACTTGCTTGAGTTTCTTGGAGATGTCTCGCCTCTCATCCAAGAGACTTCTTCAGTTCTTACAAACTGATGAAGAGTTTGTTTTTAAATTAAGCTTAAAGGTAAATTCCAAACCACTGTTATTATCAAAGGTGATATATATCTCTGTGAAAAGGACATTGTTTGAATTGGATCAGTTTTGATTTGTGTTGAACAGCACACGGACATAACGCTAATCCTGTCCTGGACACATGGGGAGGTACCTTTCTCTCCCATCTCAACCACCTTGTCTCTTCCTTTATCTCTCAGTCTCCTCATCTTGTCCTCTGTCTCTTCCCTTCCAACACATGGCCCGCTACGATAATCTTCACTTAAAGTAAAAAAAACTATAGGGGTAAAAGTTGAACTACAGTAACTAGCTGGCTTCATTATGGAAAACCACTTGCGTGACAGCACAGAAGCTGTTCGTCAAATAAACTCCAGCAGCCCACTGGCAACATTCTCTAGTCACGCTTCTTTCACACTTAACAAGGATTTACCTACCTGACCTGCTTCCTCAAGTTGTTGACATAATCAATGAACCACTATGTTAGGTAAAGATTTTGCAGTAACGACCATTTTTGTTTGTCGGACACATTAGAGATGATTTTTGTAACTGTATTATATATTGACATGAATATTAGATGCAAAGGAAGGACAGATTATGTCTCTCTTGTGTCTTACTTTTGCATATTTCAGGAAAAGTCCTGGACTTCTCTTGCTCATGGCCTCAGGGAAAAAAGCAAATAGAAAAACTATAAGTGAACGTGTGAGCAAGTTTGTACAGGCTTTCAGACACCTACAGGGCAGAGTGATTTTCACACGGAAATTCCATCCATCCATCCATCCATCCGTCCATCCTCACTCCGACCTCATCACATATCGACATTTGTTCATGGACTTTCCACTTCCAGCTACAACGTGAAAGGTACCCTGGGTGTTTGTTGTTGACGTTCTGGGACGCCGGGTCACGTGCTGCGTGTTACATACATTGTCTTCTTTCAAAATAAACTTATGTTTTCACAGGAAATTTACCATTTACATACTGTCCCTTTCAAAATACATGCACAATGTCAGTACAACAATGCAGACTGACATTTTTTTCCCTTCAACAACTAATGCACGTGGTTGAATTTAGGAACAAAGAACTGGGTTTTCTCCCGGGTGAAAGTTGGTGTTTGCTGGACCCTTCCACCACCACTCCAACCTACCCTACTCAGACTTCGCCGCCTTCACTTTCATTCTTGTCATGTCATCTTCCCCTGCCGCCGCCGAGCACTATTAAACTATAACAGTGACCAGCCAGGAATCATGCCGATGTTCAAGGACAGCTTTTTTAATCAGTCTCTTATGCCACAAGTCACTGCCTAAGTGCCAGATTTTGTTGACTTCAGAATGAGACCCTCCTCCCAGCAACATTTCTGGAGCTCTTCCTGGGGCATGCCAAGTTGTTCCCAGCCCAGATATATAATCCCTCAATCAGGCTCTCAGTCAACCCTGAAGTACCCTTCTGGTTTGATGTGCCCCCAGAAGGACACCCTAGGGGGAGGCACTTAGAGGCCATCCTGATCAGATGCCTGACCACCTTAACTGGTGGACTTCTGAGACGCTTTTAGTGACTTACTGCTCAGATGGAACTCATTCAGTGGTTCCTCTGGCAGCAGCACAGCGTCTCTTCTCTCTCGCCGTGTGCACACAGGAGTCGGTGTCATCGAGTGATTTTGTCAGAAACCTTTGGTAATGTCAACCTATGTGACACATGCGGCTAAAAAAGGAGATGAGAAATGGCAGAGCATAAAGATGCAGGTGGAAAAAATAACAACTCAATCATTTAGGATTTTGCTAAAATAGAAGAAATCACCTGTTTATATATATTTATATATATATATATATATACATATATATATCTACTAATATTGTATACAGAATCTGAATCTGAGTTACTGTTAATAATTAATTATTTTGCTGAAATTTTATTTTCTTAAAGTAATATTTTTTTTTTTTTACTAAATTGTCATATCATCAAGAATATTGTTATTGTGCAAATACATACCCTGAAGTATTGTGAAATTATTTTAGGGCCATATGAATTTCAATTCAATTCAAATCTATTTATGAAGCCCAATATCACAAATCACAATTTGCCTCAGAGGGCTTTAGAACATACCACATCCCTCTGTCCTCAGACCCTCACAACAAATAAGAAAAAGCCCCCCCCCCCCCCCCCCCCCCCCCCCCCAAAAAAAAAAACAAAAACATTTCAGCCAACTGATAAGTTGGTAAAGTTCCTTTTTGTTTATTATCAACTGACAAGGAATATGAAAATACATGTTAAATAAAAATTTAAACATCATTATCACCACCAAGAAAGTGGGGAAGGAGGAGTCAGGATGGAGTAATATAAAGAAACAATAGCAGACAAACACTGTGAGATGGTATTTTCCCCATATTTCATGGTTCATATACTTTTTACATACATTTTACAACACCTTAATCACTATGACAGTGGAGTTTCCTCCCTCACCTGTTTGAAAAGCAAATACAAGTCAAGACTGCAGCCTGAGGCTGATATGGCCCTCTGCCTGACAACCTCCATCTGGCTGGTTTAATATGCGGTGCAACTTTATACAACATATAAAGTCCATGC